GTTGGCAGGTTTTTAGAAATGACGTATAGAGAATAAAATGAGGATAATGAACCCTGGAGTCTCCAAAGGGATTATTTCAAAGCTGCACAGTAAATTTATTAATGCAGTATGGAAGACAAATGTAATTACATGCAGATATGAGAAAATATTTGAGATAAGAAGATTCCCTTAGAGCGCTAGTCTCATACTCATGTATGGCAGTTGCTGTTTTAAATATGTCATAGCTGCAAAGTAGTGAATCCAAGCACTGTGTCATTTACATGGCATCAACATGCTAATGAGCTGTAGAGTACATAGACTGCCAGGTGTTTGTGTTTGGTAGGAATGTCCTTTACCCAGAAATGCTGATCAAGTGTCCTTAGCCTCACAGATCCCAGATAAAAGGACATACCGCACTGCCTCAGACCGGGTAACTGTTTCTTTAGGGAAATATGTTTACGATCTTTATCTGCTGTTTCTTCAGTTTGTTAATTAGTACTCCTCCAACAGCTTCTACTTGAACATATCCAAATATTCATAATGTAAATAATAAGCTCCAGCCATTCCTGTCACTTCAGTGACCAATTTTTGGAAGAGCTCTTGAGTGAAGAGCTGGAAATCTGGTCTGACGATAAAAAAGGAAAGTGAGTTTCGTAGCCTTATTCCTATCTGTTTATCGGTGTTTATTTCACCTTGAAGAGCTAAAAATTAAGAGAAAAGTCCTTTTCATTCCACAGAGCGTTGCTTTCTTCGCTGCCAAGTGGCAGCGTCTGTTTCTTGCTGCAGGTGCTAGGTTTGCTGAGAAGGTCATTGGAGTCCCATCCTGCATGACTGACTACCTGTGCAGAGTTCTCAGTACTTATGGCTAATGGAGCCCTGAGCATAACTGCGTTTTCAGAAAATTTTTGCCTCTTCTGCTCTGCTGGAAATGATGTGCTTCTAAAATCACTGTTTTTGGTTCTCCACTTGTTGACAAGTTGCTACTGATGCACTGGCTAATCACTGCAAGCTTCTGTACTGAATTCAGGTCCAAGTGATGGGTACAAAAGTGCAGAATCGTACAGCTTCCTTGTTGAGCCTGCAGCAACAAGATAGCATATTTTAATCTTTCCTCATCGCTGCAAACCAAGTTACAAGCAAAGCAGCCCTCAGTAAGAAATAAAAATGAAGACTCTCTAAATCAGGGAGCGTACCTATCAAAATTAGGCTTGTCCACCTAAACATACAGATTACGCATAGAATGTGTGCAGCACGTTGCACATCCAGCTGGCCTGTTGTGTATCAGGCACGTTCCGTATGCTAAACTAAGGTCATCTTTAGTCCCAGGACTAAAAAGAAAAAAAAAAAATGCACACGTATAGTAATTGGAATGCCAAGTTTCAATAATGAGATTGGCTGTTTCCCAAAACAGCAGCGTGATCTTAGGCTCCTAAATCTGTATTTCCCTGTTGGATTTCTGAAAACTCCCAGCATCCAGCAGGTCCAGGCGGTCAGCATAAATGTTGAGTGTTTGGGATTTCCAGAGCCAGGGGGTACCTCTTTCTACCTAGTAAATGTGTTCGAAATAGCTATTGTTAACTTTGAGGTTACGTAAAATTTTTAACAGGGTTGGCTGAAATGGTGCAGCCTACTGTTTGTCCTTGTCTGCAACAATTTTCTCTATGTTGCTTCTGGAGTCACTGCTGGTTCAGTCGCAAAAACGGGTCTAGGAGGGCTTATTTGTGAGTTGTGTGAGCTGTAGATTTTGAAAGGACATTGAACGCAGCTTGTCCTTGTCTGTGCTTGTGGCCAAACAGACCGTCTCCACTTTTGCTTTAGCGGTTCTTGTTGCTGTCTGTCCTACTTGCACCCGCCGTTCTGAAGCTGGTTATTTGGCAACAGCGGTCTTGTTATGCAAAAGAGAGTCTTGGGTGTGTGTTTCCTTGTGAAAGCGTTTGTCACGCACGGTTCCTCTGCCCAGTCCAGCTGTCAGCTGTTTGCATTTCCTCATTGTGTCTTTTTCTTATTGTCTCCTCTAGAGACTTTGCATTAAGTCTTTGTGGAGCCGCAGCCAGCCTGCACCATTCAAGGCTAACTCTTCAAGTTTTTTAAATACACTTTAGTGTAGGAGGAGTAAACTTGGTAGGCTAGTAGAGAATAGGATATAGGAGAGTATAGAATAAGATATTAGTTAATTCCCACTTAATAGCTTGTCCATTGTTTTTTCAAGGATGCCTGTTCTTTGTGATAATCCTTTATGTTTGATATTGCTTCATTTCCTGCTAGTCTACCTCTTACAGCCTCTTTTAATTTAATTTCTGTGCCTTCCAGCAGGATGATATCACACAGGTAAACCGTTATTTATAAACAAACCAAACCTGAAATATGTGCATCTTTCATCTCCGTTTTGCCACCCATTTTCAGCATTGGTCACACAAGTGTTCATTGCCATGCCTTGTGCTCAGAGCAAAGGTTCTTGAGAAGGATGCAAATGATTCCACTGTTAAACTAAACTGTATCTAAACGTTAGGGTTTTTTTTCTGCTTGACTCACAGTCTATTCTACCCCCAAAAAACCCCTTTCCGTTCTGTCACATCCCACAAAATGTATGCTGATGTTTCACTGTAAAAGTGCTCTCTATGTCTTTAGCTGCTTTATGGGGAATGTTAGAATATTGCACCTTATATATGTCTGAAGGAAACAAGCTTCAGGGAAGTCAAGAGCTGGAGAGATGGAGCTGCCGCTTCTCTGTCGGAAACTGAAACTAGGTTCATAGCACAATATGGAAGTAGGCTAGGGGAAGGTGAAGACAGTTGCCAAAGAAAATTGCTTAGTGTCCAGACTGCAAAGATGAGCCGAATCATCAACTCTACTAGGAAAATGAGTGTATTCCTGAGTTTATTGAAAGCAAATAGGGTACAAAACATGGAACGGAGTATATAAATAAATATTTGTCTTCATTATGTGTTAGATTTTTGTGTAGTTTTCAGGTGATTAAGCTGAACTAATTGTGTTTAACTTCTGAATGAGAATTTTTGTTACTGGCACTATATAGATATTTCATCTTTACCTTAAGTTGCTTCCTTTTTTCCTAAAAGCTTCTTCAAAGTGTTTTGGGTAATAGGCTGGTGATCATGTCATTTATGACAGAAGTTTGATATATAACAATTAATATTCAGTTTGGGAAACAGTCGTTGGACGCTCTGGTGAATTCAGACAGAATAACCTCAAAAACGTAGTTTTATCTCTTAGGAGAAACCTGTAGAAATGTTTGCTGGTATTCAGGACCATTGAATTGCATCTCATATGAAAGGCTGCGCTTCCTGGCATCAGACTTTTTATGTAACTAAGAGTAAATCAAGATGTCTTGTATTCCTGTGCCATCAGTAGACCACAGCGGCTGAAAAAAGTCGATAGGCTGTAACATATAATGATATAATAACATGCTGCAGAGGAAGCTCCTTATTTAGTAATTACTCATGAAAATATCTCTAGAGAGTCAGTTAGTAAGCAATTAGTAGTTCATTTTCACAAACCTTTGAAACCAGTCTTCCTGACTCTGTTGTGTTGCGTTATCACAGCTTTGACCTTTGAAACAATATACATAGAGTATGTTTAATAGAATAAAGATGTAACTCAGCCTTCTAAATACCGAAGGCCAGCATTATGTCTACTGTAATTCAAATTCAGCGTAAATATACAGGATAAATTTTTTTGCAAAAGTGAAGAATGTAGAACTGAAATTAAACATGAAATTTGTTTACGTTCTATTTGCTGGGTCTTGTTAGCGTAAGCCTTTTCACTTTTATTTAACTGCTGCTTCAGGCTTTAGCGTGGATTTAAAAAGTCATAAAAATATAAAGAGAAAACAGCGCAAATAGATGTATTCACTTGTTCCAGCGTAGAAGAGAAACATGCGTTTAGCAAATTTTCTTAGCTCACGTTTTTTACAGGCCAAGAGCTAAAGACCAGGTCTAGTGCAGGAAAAGTGATATGGCAGCGGAAGCTTGCCTGAAGAAAAAAGAATGCCTCTGCCTCTTTTGATTGTCTGTTGATCCAGTCCTGTCCATGGGGAGCGTATCAAGCCTGGTCAAGGCAGCTGCCGTTCCATGGGATCTGCAGAATGGACCCAATGTGATTGTGAAGTAGTTTAAGCCTTTGCTAGAAGTCTTATTAAGTTACGGTGTTTCTGATATCAGCTGAATCAGAAGGGCTTCTTGATATCCCTGCAGTGCTCAAAGCTGATTAGGTTCTTGTCACAACATCTAACAGTCCTTCTCAATAAATATTATTTTTTATTCTTCAGAATAGTTATTTCCTTTTGGTTTTGAGAGTTTATATGGAAAAATATTTTTCTTATGTTCATACCAGTATTAAAAGCATTTCTGCCACATTTAAACGTGCAGTATTGGTATCAACAAATCATAAATATTTATTAAGAATATTTATTTTGTAGACAGTGAAAAATAGGTGGGATATTAATAGTTGCCATCTTCAAAATTTAATGAACATATGGCAGCTTGCTTCTGGTTTGTTTTTTTGGTGTGTGTGCTTCTTTTTTTTTCTTTAGCACAAGACATTTCTGATTGGAAACAAAACCATGCAAATAGTAATTTCAGTAGTTGTATCTTAGTGTTCCTCGATTATGAAAATACAGTTGTATTGCTATATGTAATACAACAAACATGTAATTTGTTTTGCAATGCTATAACAAAATTGTTTTTTAAGGTTGATATGTTTCTTGAAATACTATTTAATTTTAAATGTCTTATGTTCTCTGTCTTAAGACTAACTGGCTGAGGCACAAGACTCCTCTATGTCTTCAGTAAAACTTTGTTTTATGTTTTACCGTTTTGACTCAGAATCCTCCCTGACCTTGAGTGTTCCTGTGCTTTCAAAAGGATCTCTTTCATTTCAGTAGGGATGTTCATGAACTTAGGCATTGGTCAGGATTGCTAAAACTGGCCTTCTATTATAATTCTTTTTATTCATGATGTTGTTGCTCCCTACCATCTTAAGGAACTTGAGCTGTTCCTTTTCAGTTTCTGCCACAGAGGCCACATGCTAGCCACCACGACTGTATGACTCCACATGGGACTGTGCTGCATCAGACCCTGGATTTTGATGAGTTCATACCGCCAATACCGCCTCCACCCTACTACCCACCGGAATATACCTGCACACCTGTGATAGAGGCGCAGAGGTGATTCTTCTTCCCTGTAGTTACCCTCAGCCTGTAGTTCTGGGCTACAGTCTATGAAGCTCTTTCAAAGAATATGAAGTGAAATGGTGTCCTTTGCTTACATTAGGTGCTTCTTTTCCAGGGAGATTGCATCCTTTTTCCACAAACCTGTTAGGACACACGTGGAAATACTTATTTGTGTAAAACCACTGTGCAAGCACTACTGTGATGGAGAATTGATTGAACTTAGCTAAGACAAGGATAACAATATTTGAGCATAAAGCAGGGATCAGCTTATAGGTAATCCTTTCGCAATTGTTAGCATTATACACTTGAAGTTGAAGGTGAGGTTTAATTTTCTAATGAAATCACTGAAGTTAATGTGCGTTACTATGGAGCAGTGAAGGACAATAATGACTGCAAAACAGGTTTGTACAGGTGGCTAGTATCCAAAAGGAAATATGTTTTTTAAAGCTACCCTGTAAATTAAGGCTTCATTTGTTTGGCTAATAAATTTCTTCAGCCGAGTTCTTTATAGTGTATTGGCTCTGAATTCAGAGAAAGCGCTACGTCAGTGTGGTGTAGGTAATAGTTTACCAAATAAATCCAATGCAGTTTCTTAACAATGCAGTTTGTTTGTGTTTTTTAAACAGAAGTTTCCATTTGGATTTTCCTCATTCCCCATTCAGTGCATTATACGAAGTCACCATTAACAGCCCAGGGATGCTGTATCCAACTGAGCTGCCCCCTCCTTATGAGGCAGTGTTTGGAGAGACACCTGCTAGTCAGGTAAGGAAAGCCAAGGGAAATTCTTTACATAGTCTCCCAATTTTCATGATGCAAAACAAGTTGGGATTACTTTAATGATCTCAAACAATGTAGGAGTTAATTGTGCTTTGAGGAAGCAACCATTAGAAGAATGTTTATATTCTTTAAACGGTTTTCAGACCCTTCTCTTTAAAGGTTTCACTGACTTGAAAATTTCATCTAATATGCATCCTCCTTATGTTCTTTTGCATAGTTGGGCAAATACTTTTGTAAGTAATAATATTTCAGCTGAGATTGTCCTTTAAAAGATGGTATGATACTGGATTGTTGCTAATAGAAACTTAGAATGGATTGGAACCGTTGAAGCGCAGTTTTTCTTTATTTGAAAAGGATAATGATAGTTTGAAATGGGATTAGACTTCTTGGTTCCTGTAGGTAATAAGAATAGTGTAGATTTATGAAGGAGGAAGATAACTGTGTGTCTTGTGACAAGTAATGCTAGTGACTTCTGTATGTTTGCGTATGTGTGTATATAGCATAGAGCTCATGGGAGCTGTGTATGTGATCTGAGCAAACGTAATTACAAATTCCTGTATTAAACTCCTACATGTAGGTAGAACATGCACTTGAAAATTCCTAACAAAAGTCTCTATAAAGAACCTCAAGCTAGCAAAATTGAAAATACACATTTGCACTGCTCCACGTGAATCAAGTCTCAGATCGTGTTCTGGAGAAGCCCTGGGATTGTACGGTGATTGTATAGATTCTTACAATGACATGCTCTGGTCTTGACAGGATGCCTTGAGCTCAGTACCAAATTTATGCTCTCCGTGTTATAAGAAATGACCATTAGGAATAGGCTCCTAACAGGCACCAAAGTGCGAGGAACTGATTCCTGCTTCAGTGTCACATGGGCTGATTAGAAATTATATGGAGCAAACTTCTGAATGATAAAATGATAGGGAGGTATGTTCCTGTGAATTAGCAACCTGTAGGTCTGTACCTGTTGCTTATACTTTTGGATGTTAGAGCTTTTAATAGCTTATTCTATTATATGGCAGGAATAGCTATTGCTCAGAGTGTGTAACAGCTTTATTACAAACCTTAAGAAAGGATTCAGCATATTTCAGACAAATATTTACATATTTTTTGCCTTATTTTTTACTTAAGAACTTGAGCTCAACTGAAACGGGAATTGTCATGGATCTGTATGTACAACCAGAGCTACATTGAGCACCTGCCACTAATGGAACAGCCATCTTAATGTTTTTTTAGAAACTTTAATTTCTTGCAGGCTTCAGTAAATACTCCAGGCTAAGGAATCAAACATTCTAGATATTGCTTATCAGGTTTTAATAGCATCCCATGGAAAGATGTGTGTACAGGTTGCTAACATGCATGTGCGTTGCAGATGGGGGTGCTTTACAGTTTTCCAAAATATATCAGTGAAAAAAATACAAGTGATTGTTTCACCTTTAGGAAAATGAACACCGAAAACAGGAGATTAAAAATTTTTTATAAATGTTTGCTATTACACACAGGAAGATTTTATGACAGTTTACAAAGTGTCTGAGAAAACAGTAACGTTGAGACGTACACTCCCAGGCAGAAGTACAGCTAAAAACTCCAAGATATACCTGACTAAATGACTTCTGTGACTGACAGAGCAGCTTCTGAACTCTTTTCATCCCTTGCCTCCTGTCATGCCATCTACCTCCTGCCACACTCGCGGGGCCAGACATTGCATTATCTGTCATTTATCAGACTATAATAAAATGAACCGGTGTAAACTGTTTATGAGCTGCTTTGCGGAAAAGCAAAATTGGAGTTTCCGGGCCATCTCCTTTATAAAATGCTTTTTACCGAAGCACTGTCCTATTTTCTTTAGAGTAACTCAGAGGAATCTGCAAGCCGTGGAGGAGTTGATATTTTTGGTGATTTAAAACAAAAAAGTGGCAAAAGTAGTTTAAATTATACCTGATTTTGGGGGGGGAGGGGGAGGAAGAGAAGTATCACGTCTGTCCTAAGAATGATACTGTGGGAGGGTTAGAAAAGTGTCGTCTTATACTTAAGCACAAAATCACTTTGGGCACTCTTATAACTGGACGCTCTCTGCACGTACATAGACAGCCAGCAGCACAACAGCATGAACACAGGACAAAAATATAGCAAGCCACATTTTAAAACAGCGAAGTCGTGCTCATGCCAGGAAAGCAAGAGCTTTAATAAGCACATGTATTAACTATTACTCTTTGGCACCTGGGGTGAGCGTCAGTGCCTTGCCTATTCCTCTCTGGACAGCTGACTCCCAGAAGTGCATGTTCTGTCACAAGTGGAAATGGGTGGTGATTTTTAATTACTAAGTGATTAGTATAGTCTCTCTTTGGGACGGAGTTTATCTGCTGTGTGTCAGACAGGCACTGGTTAGGAGAGCTTGTAGGAGTAAAATAACAACAGAACAGGACATTGGCAGTGCTAACGCCCATACAGCAACTTTCTAGTCATGTACTTCTATTGACAACAAAATTCATATTCATAAAAATTCACATTCATAACATATTCTTTTGGAGCCAAAGTCCCAATGAATCTGGAAATGGAAGAACAGCCAAAATCTGAGAGGGTTTCAGATCTGCAGGAAGTACAGAATGCAGTCTTAAATTCTTGCATGGTGCAAATGCTCTCATCTAATACACATCAAGCCGCGGCACAGTATGAATTGAAATGGCTAGATTTATAAATCCCTCAAAGGCATACTTTGCAATGGAAATAAAGGCAGAGCTTTAGCTACAGGAGTGCTTCTGGGAACCATTAAGTAATAATAATTATAAAACCTCTTACAGAGCATCAGGCATAGGTTTTGTTTGTTTTTACATGGATTAAGGTCCTTAGAATTTAAATCAAATTGTATCAAATTAGGCTTCAATATTTCATGCATTTCATACACAACAAATGTCAGTGCTAATTCAGGCAGTTTCTTCTAAATAAAAATTGCTGTTGGTCATCTGTACTGATTAGGAATTCTATGTTTTTACCCTGAAAAAAATTATTTTTCACATTGCTTTTCCATGGGAAGTATTGGCGCAGAGGTAGAAAAGACAAGAACAGCCCGAGGTTCTGGATGAATTATACCAGGGACTATTTCATAAGCTTTACTAACTTATAGGCTATACAGGCTTGTTAAAAGGACGTTTTTCGTTCCTTTTACTCTTCACAGCTTAGTGACTGTCTTTGCAGGCCAGTGTACCCAAGGATGTGCAAGTCAGTATGGTTTGTTACCCTAGGAAGAGCTGAAACCTGTGCAGAAAGCAACTGCTTTCCCTGTGTGAACCAAAAGTCTCATCTGACTAAAGATTGTTACTGTTTTCTTTTGCCATTAAAGCCATGGTTCCCCTTCCCCCAAGCAAGCAGGTTAATTAATTCAAAAAGCATAGAAAATACATTTAGCAATTATTATTATATATGGAGAAGGAGCAAGGGAAGGAAAAGCAAAAACGTACATATTGACCAGATAAATATAAATGGCTTATGTTTAGCAAAACATAGCTAAATGCTCAAAAAAAGGTGAGTAAAGAAACCAAAATTTAAATGATATACCTGGTTTCTTCTGCATGACTGAAATCTCTTGTCTTTCCACTATTGAGGCTGCAACAAGGCCCTTAAGAGAGAAACCTTAATATGGGAAGGGCTCTTCTGTGTGCAGGGGGAATTCTGCATATTCTGTACGCAGGGGGGAATATTCATGGTCCTCCATTTGGGACCAGGAGGCAATTTCTGAGTGTGTAGATTTGTCCCATGTATTTCTCATATTGTTTCTCTTTGGTTTGCAAGCAGTTGTAGTTAGAGAAAACAATAGATAACGTAGCCTGCAATATATAAGCAAGAGCCTGGAAGTTAAGCTGAGAGGCCTTGTCTTTTTGTTCACCTAGGCATCGTTCACCTGTAAGGATATCAGCCTGGTTATGCAGTCCCACGTCTTTGGGTTTGTGACTGCGGGGTTTCCAGCCTCTGGGGGAGCCTCTGAGACTGAGGCAGAAACCGAGAAGGGAAGTGAGTGCTCTGGCTGAGCTTTAGTGTCCCCTAAATGCCAAAGGATGAAGAGAGAGGTACCACCCTCGGCACGTGGAGTGAGAGGGCTGCCACCAGTCCCTCTCTGTCATTTCCCCGAGTAAAACATGACTGCTTTTCCTAGGTGAGCTGACAGAGTCTCAGAATTAACACCTGAACCACAAAGCCACATAATTTTTTTTTAACCCTCCTGCCCATGCCAAAGTGTGCCTTGGGTTCTTGCTGTGTTTAGTGTGAGCTCCGTTCCCGCAAGACGTCCAAGCAGAGAGCAACCCACGGCCACTCCGTGGCTTGTGTCAAATGAGCTTCGTTGACTTGTTCCCAGATTAGAAAAGTCAACGCTGTAATTGATTCTCCGAGTTGGGAGTTGAGATTCAACTGTCTTAGTCTAGAAGTGTTTGTGTAATAGAAGATTAAGCTATGTAAATACAATCAGTGTATTTCCTCTGACAGTAAAATACTGTATTTGTTTGAGAAAGAGCTTAAATATTTTGATTTCCGTAATTGCAATTCTAGCTTTTTATACAAGCATTATTTGCTTTGTATACTCTATAATAATGATTTTATTAAATTTACTAGATCAAAGCTGTAGATAGTTATTTTCCACTAATATGGGTTTGCTTTGTGTTGACACCAAAACCTCAGCCTAGCATATAATTCATTTTATAGGTACTAGACAAAGTACAATGTCACTACAGCTGCCAGGCAACCAGGAGAAAGAAGGTAGGAGGTCAATAAACATTTCAGCACAAATATTCAACAGATATTCTTCTGTTAATGATAAGAATGTATGAAACAACCTAGATTTAAAAAAGAAACCCTAGATTTTAAAGAAACAAACAAAAACCAAACACTTTCAAAACATAAAATAATTTATTCAGAAACGTACTTAGAATACTTTTTTTTTCCTATAATAATTTATTTTGTGATTGAACTCTTTTCAGCTGCAAAGAGCATTTGAGGACACTTCTTACTTCTGATGAAAGAGCTCACTAACATATGTTCTTCTCGCAAGCTTATGTTTTCTTCTGTAAAATTTGCAGTTTATTTTTCAGAAAAAAGTTGCTGTTGGATTCCTTGTTTGAAAGCAAAACTAAAATTGCCATTTTCAAAAGTAAGCTTATTTCAGTTTAGTGGTATGTGTTCAGTTTAGAAAATATGAGCTTCCTAGTTGATGAAGGCTGATAATTTAGGACAAGCAGTAGAACATTTCTGAAAGGCTGATGCAGTGAGACAAGCGTGCTCTAAACACTAAACCTATGAGTGCATCGTGTTGGATTGAAGCAGCGGGGTGAGCAGTTCCACAATGAATTCCCAGGCATTGTCTGCAGTTTAGAGTGACACAGCTGATTTATTTAGTTATTTATTTTTACCACAAACAAACTGTAGTTTGTTTTAACAAAGAAAGTTCCTTCAAAAAATTTGCAAATACATGATTTTAAAATATGACCAATTCAGCCTTTTTCTCTGGTTCTCAATCCCTTGTCTATTGCTGGATTAAAGTATTTCTGGTATTATTTTTTGAATAGAGTTATATTCACAAATCTTTTGACTTAGAACCACTTTTAAAGTCTAAATTTGTGTGAGAAAAACTGTTTCTTGATCGCTCAGAGTAAGGTGGGGGTGTGTGTATATATATATGTATATAAATTAATGATTGCAGTAAGATATGTATGTGTATCTACACTGGTACGTGCACTGAAAGCTCTTTTCTTAATAGCTTCAGAGTACAGTGTCACATTCAATTCTTTTTCGAAGGCCAGATACAAATTAAGCCCTTGACAAAAGAGTTTTCACAGAAGTGATTGATGGCTATTTGCAGACTGTCACCAGCTGTCATGCGCTTTTACTAGTTATTTGTGGCCCTAAAGAAAAAGTAATGCTTTCTGCTAAAGACAGTATCAATTTCACCCCCTTTGATGTGTCTTAATATTTTTTTTTTCATTTGTAGTTAACCAGCTGTTTATTGGAACCATTTTTTTTAATAATCATAGTCCCAAAGAACTAAAAATCTAATGAGATTGGCAACAAGGTGCAATTCAAAGTCTGTTGAAATCAATAGAAAGTAAGTTTCCTTAATTTCAATAATCTATGGATCACGTCCTTCCAAGACTGAGTTTGTTCGCGTGATTCTCAAAAGTGAAGGGAAGTTTTTTAACCTGCCTATTTAAGGATGAGTCCTAGAATTATCTCCCTTCAGTAATCTCTGATAAGCTGGAGAGTACCATGTGTGACGTGGCTTGGGTGGTAGTGATGCCACCCATTAGGAATTAGGAAAACATCAGATTTCAATATTTTAGCAGGTAAACAGATGAAAATATCACTCTTGTGCTTGTTTTTTATGATTACTGTTGTTTGTTATCCCATTTTAGGGTGATGCAATGTGGTGTCATGTCACAAACTCCACAAAACCAAACATAATCAGGAAAAAATGCAGACTGTTGAAAAAGAGATTGCTTGTAATAAGACAATTATTTTTAAACATTGCAGTCAGTAAATTTTGTAATGTTAGCCTGCAGCCCCAGCTGCCTGTGAATTCAGGATGAATTTAGCTTGTAGATTCTGGAAAAAAGAAACAAAAAACTGCTTTAAGCATGTTCCTTTGCTCTGCATTTGTTCCTTGCCCAAAGGCATTTTAAAGTACTGTATCTTCAAGTATGTTTGGATCGGAACAGCAGCGTGTATGATAGCTATCTCACATTGTCAGGTGTATTCTTTAGATCGCCAGCTCTGTACTCTTTGGGGAAACTGTTTGCAGATTAATGTGCTGTTACGATGAACAATTTTTGTGCAGGTCACTGGTATTGATCAGCAAGTATCCGAATCAAGCTTGGGTGAAAGGAACGTGACAGAGGGCTTCAGCACACAAGGTGATCATAACGTTGTTTTTGTCTAGTTTGGAAAGCTGTAGTGGGATTTTTGAGTCGACACTTCCTTCCTCTGTACCCTTGCCCATGGGAGAAAGAAGGATTTGCTCTCAAATTGCTCATGTCAAGATGATAGTCATAAACTGATGTGGCTAGAAATGCAGAGGAAGTCAAAGGAGAGTTCTGCTCAACGTAGCTGCCGTGGGAGCTCGCTTAGATTAAAGCCCTTTGAGGCAGGTACCACAACTTTCATCTCCCTTTAGTGTCATGCACATGACTGGAAGTTTGTTTCTCGTTGTCAGCAATGACAGATGCTTTTACATTCTTACAGTTCTGATAGTCCACACATCCTCTCTGTGCAGTAGTTCTCTGCATGACTCCAGAAGCCAGGAGGAGAAGCTTGCTGCCCCAAGTGCAGATATTGTGAGTGAGATGAGCAGCTGCACAGAGCCAGGTCATTTCGTAAAAAAGTTACGAGAACAGACTCCTTTAACATGTGTGGTGATTTCTCAAAGATTATGGCTTCAGCTCGGTGGCTTGAGAGTTGTTGAGTGGTTTGCACAAAGTGAGATAATTGGTTTAGTAAACTTCCAGTAAATAATTTTTCCACATCATAGCAGGTATTATCAACAGACTTCCAGGTGTTGTCAGTTAGTGCACTGATGGGCAGAGAGGTGATGGGCAGAACAGTCCTAGGCTCAGAAGCAGTCCTCTCTCACCTGTCCTCCACAGTGGCTGACAGCCCTACAAATCAGCGAGGAGAGTGTTCCTACACACAGAGTATCTGTTCTGCAAATAACTGAAGGGCTTCAGATTCCAGAGCCATCAGTTGTCACCTTTCACTAGTGCTAAGTAGTCTTTTATTTAAAAAAAAAAAAACAACAAACTGGTCTTTGGCATCTGCAGTGAGGTCTGACACCTGAAGGTGACTAGTTTTCAGGTTCTGCTATTTGAAAAAGGCTCTGTCTACTCAGCTGATCCTCACAGCTCAAAAGTACATGGGACTTTACATCCACATGTAAAAGTCTAAATCTTAAGGCTGGTCACTCTGGCTTTGACTACTTGGAGGCAGTGGACCAGCACTCAGGCCAGGGTTTTAACACTGCACACAGTGGTGTGTACATGTGAAAAGGGAACCAGGATGACAGCAGCCACCTTCTCCCTGTCTAGTGTTCTGTGTATTCTACGTGCCACTGGTACCGTATGTGATTGGGTAGTCTTTGATTAAAAACTCCCACTGTCTGTAGTACCAGAAAAACCGTCCCAGTGAAAGAATGGAACAGTAAGAAGCTGTAAATATGGTTTAAGATCCTTGAGTCCAGGAGGCAAGTGGTACAAACATCTCCAGCCTGAAACATAGGCAGTACACTCTATTTGGAAGATTTATATTTCTGTGATTGTTTTTGAGCTATCAGTTAAAATGCTGAAAATGAGGTTCCAGAGGGAGGGAGCCTGGATATTGAAGATCTGTGCTCTGAAAACAGGCACAGACTTACATATTTCAAAGCTCGAGGTAAGGGAGTATGTTGCAAAGAATCATCTCACTTACGTAAAAATGTTTGGAGACGCATCACAAAATATAAATGGTCCAGTAAACTACGGCAGCTTGAACAGAGCATATTATGCAATTTTAGCATGGGTAGATGTATTTCCATAATTGATTATAATGTTCTTTTTGGCAATGTCATGATTGCCTTGAAATATTATGACTTCGTTTCCTAGAAGCCCTAAAAGAAAATGGTAATTTTGATTCATCTTCTGTAAGAAAAAATGTCCTTCGTAAAATTTAAGCTCATGAATATTTGATTTCACATTTTGATAATAATTTCCCTATCCTCTGAGAAGCTTTCTGCTTCCTAGACCCAAAAACCTGGGAGCACTTAACAAATATTCTCTAATCCACTGAAATATCCAGTCTTTCTATTTCTGAACACAATAGAATATGTTTGTCTCATCAGTATTGCTGGCAGCAGCTGTTTATGCAGAAAAGGGGCCTCAGAAGCTGCTGAGCTGAAGAGAATAATGTGATTTGTATTTTGTAAGTACATTGATTTTAGATATTGAATCTTACCAGGAATTCCACTCCAACATGGGAAAATTGTTGTTAATATTATTGGAGCCTGAGAAATTTTATGGTCTAATTTCCAGACTAAAGGGATTTCCTTTCTCTTTTCATCATGACTTTTAGGAGTAAAGCAGAGCCAAATACTTACTTTCAGGCAAAGGTCCATTTTCATTTATAATGTGTATACGTAGGCCTGACAGAGGAATTGATAACAATCTCAGCTTTCAATACAAAGGGCTTCCAAGATGGCATGAGCCTGCACAAAATATTTAGCTTCTATCTGAAGTGAAAAGACAAAAGAGCCTCTGATATCCTATATATTCTGTATGCCAGAGATGTGATGTGAGGGTGACTTCTGTTTTGTAAAACTCTTGGGTACATACTTCAGATAAATGATGACTGGTTAGGAAGTGTTAGGCGCAAAGCTCATACTGACAGTAGTGGTAGGCGTAGAACTGGTCAGAGCCTTGTTTATTCAGTAGTTGTGTAAAGCTGTACTTTTCCTACCATGGGCAATCTCTCACTGTTGACCAGAGAAACCAGTAGTGAAAGAGCTGTCGCCATTTGAATGTAGTTGCAGAAAATACTTTGGTATCAGTGCTGAAGCACGTTTATTAACTGAAGAAAATACACGAGAAAGTTCAAATTACCTTTGTTGAAAGACACTTAAAAACAAGTAAATGACTTCAGTCTTTATTTGTGTCTCGTCTGTGTCTCTTTCCTATTTGTGTTTCTTATCTGTGGCATTTTGTGAGCTGTAAGGTTTTAAATACTTGCTGATATGCTTACCAATTACTTAATTTAAATCAGTGTCTTGAAAACCGTGGTAGGGAGGAATGGATCAGGGGCAAGAAGTCATTATTTTTCACTGAATCTCTTGTTTTGCAGTTTCTGTTGACAGCACCTCTTTGATGGCCTCTGAGGCTGTTGATATCCCAGACCATAGCTGCTCCTCTGAAGATCATTGTTCGCTGGAAGTTCGAGGATCGCTCCATTCTGCAGATTTTTCTCCCTACAGCACGGCGCACAAAGGGACTGAGGACAGGAGCTGCAGCAGCCTGGATTTCAGCGTGCGCTGCCGGTTGCGCCGGACTCGCTCGCAGGACTTTCCTGATGAGGATGACGGCTCTTACAGCAGAGCCTCTGCGGACAGGTCTCAAGGACAGGAAAACGAGAGCTGTGCCCATGGCAGGTCCTCAGACTGTTCCTCAGAGAATTTCAGCTCCTCAGAAAGAGAAGGGCAGAGCAAAGCCACACCACCTTTGAAGCAAATGAAAATCTGCTGTGGGGTCTTTAGCCAGCCTGCTGTCCCTTCCCAGCCCTCTCCCTGTTTTGGGCCTGCAAATACTCCGCCTTACACAGGCAGCCCGGAGAGTACTGTCCAGCAGCGTCACATTACAAAAGCCAGAATGTCAAATATAGTCCGATCAACTAGTGACCCTGTCTCATGTTCATCTAATACAGAAGGTAGGTGTAGCACAACATGGCTGTGGCTCACCACAAATGAGCGGTGTTTGATTTATGCAGTGATTAGTATTGCTGGAAATTATACGAAGCCTTTCAGTGATGGATGACTTATGTGTGAAGGTTTTAGCTCCATGCACACTTTTTACGTTTGAAAATTTTTAGGAGGAATGAACGTGGGAAAAATGACAGAGTGAAATTAATACTGATTTTCCTAAATTATACCAACCTTTCTGCACTGAGTCAGAAAACCATCTCTTGAGTAGATGCTTCCACCTCTCTTGGTATTATGTTGAGAAGTCAAACCGACAAGTTGAATGGTAGCTGGGGTGTACTTGGAAAACAACTAATCAAGCTTTCATGCTCAAAATATAGCAGGTTGTGTCTCCTGAAGGTGATGCTGGGTCATTGACAGGATTGGTGCATGTCGGAGGCAGTTAGGGTGTAACTCTGTAGTGGCAAGTTGGATCGTGCAATGGAAAGTTTTGATGAAATTAAAGATGAGGTGCATGACAAGATGATGAATGAGAAGTTAAGCCTTTGACTGTCCTGGACAAGCGTCTTCTGCTAATGAATGTCCTGTTAGAAAGTATGGAAGAAGAGAGGAGGGCTTATTAGCTGACCATTGTATCTTTCTAAAATTCTGTTTATTACTGGGAGAGAAAATACTTGATTTAGTAGGGAGTGGTTTGGTCAAATAGTAGCTGGGATGAAATATCTGAAAACGTTTGAAAGGTATGTTTTTTCAAAAGGGTGTAAACTGTTTAGAGAGATTCAGAGGGGTAACTTGGAGAAGTGGTTTGAAACTGAAGATAAAGAGTGTTGTAAGATGTCAGAAAAATTATGCTAGTACAGATGCATTCGTTGGGCTTTCTGAGGGAGCTAGAGGAAGAATCATCATGTGACTAGTTCAAAACAAATGTAGACAAAATGCTGACAATAGTTTCATTTAGGAAGATGAAGTGTTGGGTCTATTCGACTTTTTTGCCTTGTTGTTCTGTTCCTGTGAATATCAGAGACCTCATACCTAGCTCAGTAATTGAAAGTCTTTTAACTTTAGGAGTCTGGCCTCAGCTTGCAGTCCAAGAAGTGTGAACCTTTAATCTAAAAAAGTTAAGGTCTGCATTTATTTTATGACCGTTACTCTGCTAGTATGTATGTGCTATGAATCTGCTGTGCAAACAGTAAGTAGGAATTTCTGAATCCTTTCTACAGTGCTAAATATTACCCTTTCTCTTCGGGATCACACTGTGCAAGTTTTCCATATTGTGCTCCATATGCTCTTTGAGTGGTGTTTGACGGAGATATTACTGTAGGCAGCCACATCTACGTGTTCTAGCTGACTGTTGGGACACCTGCCATAAACAGATGCTCTGGCTTCATTTTTAAAACGTCCTAAATACATCCGTCATTTTTTCTGGAGAAGGGGGCTTGTTTAATTGACTGTGATTATGGGAATTATTTTGTCTAATTTCCAAGGTCTTGACCCTGCACGGGTTGAAAATGGGTGAAACATGGTTGAATTGTAACTGGGCTTAGCAAAGATTGTGCTAAAGGAGCAGAGACGGTTCTAAAAGTGTTGATGTTGGGGGGGGGCGGGGAGTAAGAGAAGAGGTAACTTGGAAGAAATGTGTTTGTGCTGGCCTAGTTGGCCATTCTGCTGCTGCCTACAGGAGCTTCTTTTAAATGAAATCTTTGTTAGAGAAGCACGTGAGTTTAGGTATACGTATTTCTTTCATTTAAATGTTTGGCAAACTAGAGAAATATATTGCAGAGTTTGACTCTGTGAAGCTTTTCACTGCTTTACATCACCTCAGATTCCTCACTCCGTACCATTTGATGAGCTTTGGAAATCACGGATATATTAGAAGCAGCACATTTCTAATAATATGTATCGACTGTTTGTAGCAGCCCTTAAGCTTATTCTTTCTAAGCGATGACACACAGCTGAAGTTCTTTATCGTCAGTTAACTTTAGCGAAGCATTTGATCTAAATGCTTCAGGACTGGTCTGTAGCTTTCACCGCAGAATTTTAAATACTGTTATGTGATAACTGTCATGGCTACGCATTCAGTACGCTATGCAGCTGTGTGCTTTCAGTAAGATAAATCCTGTGTGGTAGAAAAGGCCTAAAGCTCCAGTAACTTTGAAAGGCACTGAAGATCTGGAGCATGCTGAAAGGTGCTTTCGCTCTTAGATGTATCACAGTGATAGGTCAGGAGAAGCCAAAAGATGTTAAACCTGCTATGCAGAGGTGAAGCTCTGTTTGAAAGCTGTCTGTACGACTCTAGAGCCACGTCCAGTACACGGACGAGCTACGTACACCTGGAGGGGGCCTGTGGATGCACGCAGGAAGAGGAAGCCCCATGGCGCTTTATCTGCGTTGGGATTTCAGGCAGGTTTCAGAACAGACCCTTCTGATACAGAGTTACCTGGTTTCCTTTGGGAGGAGGAGGAAGGGAAACGGAAATAAAATACCACCATCTTGTTCAAAAGCCAGGTGAATCAAATGCAGCTCCTGAGCCTGCAGAGATAGAGAATAGTAACTTACCGTCTATATCCCTACGCAGAGAGGAGAGCTGTGCTGTGTCTCATGGATGTGTAAACTGAGATCCACAGAGCTGAAGGATAGGGAAGGATGAAGGGAACCAACTAAGCTCCATCAACAACTTCTTAACCCAGAAACAAAACTATTTTTGGCAGTAATTTACACATTTTTTGCAACTGTTCTGGAGTAGAAGAACTCATCAAATATTCTGACCATATGAAGCACAGAGGTGTAACTTCATATCGTTAAGACTTGTAAGTCACACGAGACACGTACTGCAGCCTGGGGGGAACAGAAGGGTGTGGGAGCTTCAGGCATGTTCACAAATGGCAAAATGCAGCGGTCAGATTGGGAAGTGAGATTTGGTATTATCTTTGGTCCCTATCTTTTTTCTTTAAGAAAAATGATTCATTTATCTGTGGATTAACTTCCTTATACACCTCAGTGTTTCTTTTTGGGTGTGCTTCTAAATCTCTTAAAATTTATTGGGTAGTTTTGTTAAATGAGTCTTGAACTCATTGCACCTAGTTTGGAGCGTGAATTATTTGATGCAGGGATGTTGCATATGTGCAGCAGTGCAGTCACATAGCAGCCATGAGATCTAATAGGTTAGTAATCTGGGAATTCATTTCAAAGCAGGCATAAATCTGTGTGTGTGTGTGTGTGTTTTTTTTTTTTTAACATCAGTAATCCACAATTCACGTGCTTTTAAGCGCATCTTGACCTGATGGAGTCTTCATGGTCTATATAGTCAATAATTCTCCCACTTATCCTTTAATGCTGGAAGTGAGCTTGTTCATTTGTTTTAAAGCATCTGCCATCCCTAGTAGAGAAATTGTCTAAATGAGTTTAGTTTAATAGGTGCCTTTATAGTTGGTATGCAGTTCCAGGGCAATGCAAGTATGGTGGGTTCACATATAATCTCTGTAAGAAATGATTCCCTCTTTAAAACATTACTTACAAATGAGAGTTTGCCTGTTTTCCTCTCTCTCCTTTCCCCTGTAAGTTCATCAAAACAAAGGAGGACAGATACAACTCCTAGCATTGATCTTTGTTAGAATAAACGTAATTTGTAAATCTATAATAGACTAGGTAGCTATATCAGTAAGTGTCCTGTGTAACTGGTGATTACTGTAGTGTCTCCATTCCAGATAATTCAGGATACTGTCTAGTGGTATAGTTTTGTCTTTGTCCCAGGTGCATTAAGCAGAATAATAGAGGATGGGAAAATAAAATCACTGAAGTGTCTCCTCTTAATAAGCATGCCACGATTCATGCATGGCAGTACTTCAAAATAATAAGGCAAGTTAAAGACAGACTAGTAGCTGCCTCTTAACTTCTTAAAGCTTTTCTGTGTTTGTAGAATCTTACTTTTGTTTTAGTTCATTTAATTATTTGCCCTGCCAGAGGGGATTATACCAGGTTTTCATTATAAACTTTCTCTGAAGATATTGAAAAAAAAGTCTTCTAATCTACCTAGAAGTTCAAAGTAGTTTTCAGTCTTGGAAACAGATGTAAACAGGCTTAACATAAATGGGAGGGTTTATTCCTTCTTGACTGTTAAAAGCTTGAGCTTAAAAAGGCTGTACTGGTAATTACTGTATAGTGTGATTTCACCATCATTGATCCCTTTTTCTGGCATCTCAGAAACGTCTCATTAGAAACCTTCTCATCAGCCCAACTCTGTCTAGAGTTGTTGGTTGATGCTCTGTAACCGTTTAATTGGAGCACCAGTAGCCATACTACCCGTTGACTTAATCAGTGGAAGATAGCATTTGTCCTCCAAAGAACGAGAATCTATAAAAAAGGAGGTAGAGTTACTGAACAAAGTTCCAGTTTTTATAGAAGTAAGAGGCCTTCATCTCTCTTGACTTCCCATTTTCTAAGGTAAATCTGTCTACCAGGGAACTACAGGAAGGTCTGCCCCTAGAATGCAGGGAGCCTTCTCCACCCTTCATGCGGAGGCCGGAAGTATTTAGGATTTGATAACTGTGGAACAGGAAACCATCAAGCAAGGAACAGTATCTTTCTAATCATATTTAAGTGATTAAAGGACCTTTCTGTATATAGTAGCTTCTCTTCATGAATGGATGTCTTGGTAGTATTTCATCTGAGAAGTTTCATCCTGTAAAGGAGATTATAGAAGATCCCAATGTATTTTCCATGCTTTCAGCAGAGGATGACAGGGTTTGGTTGTGCTCTTTCTCTCTCTCTGTTTCCCTTTGGTTAAAGGTGATAATTGTGCCTGGACTCCAGTATATAGCCAGCATCAAGATGCAGGATTATTTCCAGCTACTCTGGAAACAGGTGAGGATCAGTTTTCTACAGTTGGATCATATGGTTTTTCTTGTCATAGTCTATAAACAATTAAAACAAGCTTGTAATGGAGAAATAAAATCAAGGGATGTCCTCCCAAAATTTTCTTCAAACAGCATGCATACGTGATGTATAATGCAGATGGAACCACATTTGCACCCATTTGCATTGAACCTTCCTGTTACCAGGTACCTGTTTCTTGCACTAAATCTGGGGGATTGGGCTTGCTCTTTGCCTCGCAGCGTAGCGCGAGGAGGGAGAACGGCCACAACAGAGCGTGGCGGAGAGACAGAATTTCTGATAACGTTGTAGTGCCGCAGTCGCATAGTTTTGGAAACAACCTTTGAGTGAAAACAAATGCTGTGATTTAACGCCATGTTTTAGCTTAGCTCTTTTGCTTTCTCTCCACTTTTCACTAATCTCTTATGTATTATTCACTGCTTATAATTTTTTTGGCCTGATTAGATGTAAGGAGAACTGTATCCTTAAAGTCACTGAGAGCTAAAGCATTACATATTACATATGTAACAATGAGTAGCTGTTGTCTTCTCCTGTCGTTAATATCAGCTGAAATCCTTAAAAATAGAGTTAAGAAAAATGTATGCCATTTATGAAGTATTTTAATTATTCACCATTCGCCTATACATGGTCCTTCTTGCTCCTGCAAAGGCATCTTACCGCTGATGCTGCTATGCTGTTTAACCGTTTCTGAAGTGTTTTTGTTATTCTGAAGACAGAATAGGAATTTTATGACAAACTAAAAACCTTTTGTTGACAATACTTGATGTGATGACTCTTTTTTTTTTTTTTTTTATTACTTTAAAGGTACTTTTTCCCCCCCCTTTTTAGTTCCTGTTTCGGGTTCTCATGTGGCTGCCTCTGCTTGTCAGGATTCTTTGAGCAGTTTCCTACCAGCTGGAAAACAGAGGGATACAAGGAGACTAGACCTACATTTAAAGTCAAAGGCTTTGCAAACACTCTCGAAAGAGCGACCACGCTCTTTAGTGGACCTTAAGGCCTATAAAGACACAAAAATTCTATTAAAGGTACTTTTTCCCCCCCCTTTTTAGTTCCTGTTTCGGGTTCTCATGTGGCTGCCTCTGCTTGTCAGGATTCTTTGAGCAGTTTCCTACCAGCTGGAAAACAGAGGGATACAAGGAGACTAGACCTACATTTAAAGTCAAAGGCTTTGCAAACACTCTCGAAAGAGCGACCACGCTCTTTAGTGGACCTTAAGGCCTATAAAGACACAAAAATTCTAGTGGCAAAATTTTTGGAACATTCAAACTGTAACCTCCCTCCAGAAGTACGGCACGTAGTGAACAGCATACGCTCAGTCATAAAGTCTGACGAGAGACACATGGAGGAAGCCATCTTCAGTGCCAATATCATAGACCAGGTAGGCCATTCATGTTTTAAAGATTTGTGCAGCTATGATAAACACACAACTTTTTAAACATGTTTTTACCATTTGAAGTACTTCAGAAAATTGTTACAAATGTTCCTGTATGGTAACATGACTTTAATAAGAAATAATTAATATTTATCCAGCAGTAGCGTATTTTACACTGAAGCAGTTACAAATGCATTTAGAATTCTTCAGCTGGACACAGTACTGGCAATATCCTAGAAGATGGATAGGGAACTGTTATTATATCCTGATAATGATCCTCTTACTCCTAAATTCCTTCTGCACCTGGGACATAGTAATCCATACGTGAGTTTGTGTTTATATGCAGAGATACGTAGTTAATAACAAATCCTTTTAGTAAGGAGAAAGGTGATGGATCACCTTTTACTAGTATTGTTATCAAAATGATAGGCATAGAAATGAAGTTTCTCTTTTATTGTCAGGTTTAAAAAGCAGAACGCCCTTAGCACTGACTAGCCCCGTCCAGGTTGGCTATCAGGTGTCCGCAGAGCTGCGCGGAGGGTTAAGGATACGCACTTGGGCTCTTTCCCCTTTTGAGATGTCATTTCTACAGTGTTGGTTTGCTGATCCCTAAACAAGATAAACTTACTGAGTTTCGAAACAGGATGCAGTACCAGTTAAACAGCATCTGAGGTAGTCTGATGTGTAGCAGGAACCGTGCTGCATTTACAAAAGCTTGCTGCAATACCGTCTTTTGCTAACTATGAAGTAGAGCAAAGAAGTAGAACAGTATCAGTTCACTCTACAGTCACATCAGTAGAAAAGCAGTGCTACCATGAGATACCTAACAGAATGTTGCTATGGAATTAAGTTTTAACATTTTTATTGCCTTACCACATTTATAGGTCATTAAATCCCCAAGGTTGGAAAGTTGGAAATAGTTTTATTTAAATGAAAAAAAAAGTTTCTCACAAAACAAAACAGTATAAATGAACGTGAGTGTTTATGCAGATCATAAAACCGGAAACGCTGTGTGGGCTTCTGAGATCTGAGGATACATACAGCTTTTTCGCATTAAAGAAATAATTTCAGGGAAGTTATTTTTTCAGCCAAAAAACAGTAATCAGTGAAAGTCCCAGCCGTTCCAGCGATCTACTTAAGAAGTCACAGGATTTTCTCTAAAATCTAAATCAGATTTGTGAAGCAGACCGACAGTTCCATGAACCGACGTGTTTGTTTACCAGGCTTGCGAGGTTTTGGTTCTCTTCAGCCTTCACCAAAGCTAGTGAGGCATCTCTTTTCCCTGGAAGAAATAGGTTAATTTCCTTCAAGCTCGTATTTGCCTGGCAGCAGAGCTGCTGCCTTTTTCACTAGTTTCCTTTTCATTCTTACATAGAGAAAGAATTTGTTTGCCCCTTTTTTGCTTTAAAAGTACAATACAGATGCGAGGCTTGATGCCTTTCGAACTTGACCTTGCTTTCCGGTAGCCTGTACTCAGCCGTGGCCACCTGGGAAAACAGGGCACGTGGGAGAGGGAGTCTCTGGGTGGCTGCATAAACACACGTCTGCTTGCAGGGAGCTCCATTATTAAATAAATTAAATAATATTCAGGGACTGAACCTTTTCAATGAAAACGTTTGTCACTCTGTTTTTTCCCCATTTGTCTTTGTCCATTCCTGCCTTTCAAACAGGTAATTACAAGTTCCCAGCAGAATGTGAATACCTCTAGAAAGCGACTCCAGGAAGATCTTCACCTGCAGAGCTGCGGTGCTCTGAGCTCTCCAGTTGCCTTCTTACGTAGGGCCCATATCGCTCGCAGTGTCGAGCGGGACAGGCCGCACAGTTTAATTGGAGTTTGCCGGGAGACCATCCTTTGATAATATTCACAGGTATGTGATTCCAGCAAAGAGGATTAAGGAAGAAACGAGGACTGGGAGAAATACAAGTAGTGGATGGCTTAAAAAGGAAAAAGTGTCTTCCTTTGGAATTCCACTTTTTTCCAAGAGCAGGAAGAGAACAACTGTTTTTTTTTTTGAATGTAAATCTCAGCCCTGCATTTTGCAAAATTTTACTAATTTATTAGTAAACTCGTAAGAAATGTTTTCCCAACCAGAAATGCATCTATTTCACTGTACTTATAGAAATGCTGCTGATGCTGCCTAGCATTTCTTGAAAACCATCGCAAACCCACGAGAGACCTGTTGTACAACTGAAAAGTTGTATTTATTTAATGTACCTCAAAGTGTTTTAACTATGATCAGTGGTTTAATAAAAAGTATTTCTGGACTCTGTTTTTGCAACAACTGATTTGGATAGAAATGTAAAAGTGATTTATAAGCACACACAGTGCTTATTCTAATCCATTTTACCAATGTCTGTCATACTAGGCCAACTGATCTGACCTGTTAAAACTGCTTTACCCCTCCTCCTTATAATATGTTGCCCTTTTAAATTATAGTAAAGGATGCAGTGTGGTTTATTTTTGCTTTGTTCTGAATGTTTATGAGTTTATGATGTTTAAACACTCTGCCAGTCGTGACCAAAAGATGCATCAGGGAAAGAAGTCTTTGAAATTCTGCATTTCCAAAAAGAAGATTTTATAAATTTCTTACAAATTGGAACTGATGGAAAATTAGATGTAATTTTTATCCAGCAGAGCCTTGAATTTTTTAAAAAAGAAGTGCTATTCCATTCCACTTAGTAATTTGGACAATTGTATTACTAAAACATGTCCCTGTGGTTCTGCTGCATTTGTGATCAATTTAAAATTTATCCTAAAAAATCAAAATAGCATCACTGACACTAGTTTGATTATCAGCATAAACACAGGTCTACCAGCAATGTCTTCCAGGGCAAGTTTCATCCCAGATCTCTCAGAGGAAACCGGGACTGCCTTAAACAAAAGGTTCTCATAAAGAACCTACCATAGGTTGATAGCTTGTGGTTTTAAATCTTTTGCAGCAATGCTTGCCAGTAGTGTTACAGTTCCCATGTGAGGTTTAGTCGTATAGCGGTTTCATTTGTGTCATTCTGAGTGGGGAGACATCCTGTGAAAAGGTCACAAAGGAATGTAGCTAAGGATGGGTAGTTTTAGTTTTACAGAATCATTCATTTTAATGTATATTAAGTATAGCATGCTTCTGTATTGATATGAAGTTACAGTGACATCCAGTGGCAACAAGGTAGGCTAATTGCAAGCATCTACTCTGAAGATGATAATAGGCAATACACAAATTGTTATTTCAAGATAGTGGAATGAATTCCTCTTAAGAACAGAAATCTGTGACCTTTGCAACTGCACTTAGATGAAGAATTAAAAGATACTCTAGTTGGATTTTTTTTATTTTGTAAACTTCACAACAAACAAAATAAGCGAGCTTTCTTTATTATTTCTGATTTATTAGTTATACTAGATTAATTCTTTCCTAAGGTCAGTTGCATGCAACACACATTAGTCCTTGAAGTACAGTCATCCTAAAGCTTTTTAGTTACTGCATGGTAAGGCTTCTTAAGTCACAGTGTATTTTCTTCAAGGTCTTGGCCAAAACAAAACAAAACAAAAAAAAAACTAGACAAAAAGTTACATCAATTAACATTTATCTCATAAGGAATACAACTTTACGACTACTTTTTTTTTTTTTTTTTTTATCTACACACATTCTAATACTGCGGATGGTGCTAGCTCATTTGTCAGAACAATTTACATCCAGAACACGTTGCCTCAGGAATAAGAATGCTTTATAAAAGACAGTAACAGGTAAGCATGGCTTTACCATTTTGAGCTAGTATGAACAAAAAGGTAATATGCAAAAATCCAAACAAAAAAACCCCAGCCCAACACATACATTACACAAACTGTGCAATAAGTTATCAGTGAAATAGTTCTGTTAAATCATAAAAATCACAAACATTAAAAATAAATATGTATCTAAATAAATATTTTGATTTTAATCTTGTGGCAATTATTCTTTTATTTAGCATATGAAACACTTGTTACATGTTTATGTTCACACCTTGCCAAACAGGTTACACTTGTCATAACAATACCAAGTACTACAGTGGTTTTCTTTACGTTAGAATCTAGACGTTTCACTGCACACGTTCCTATCCACTGAAATACCATCTATTCGGCACCAATTTTAAAATTATTCAATGCCGTCAGTATTGTACCACTTTATGGGACTGGGATTTTTTTTTTTTTTTTTTTTTAACTTGAGGCAGGCATAACTTCCTCTAATTGCTTATCTTTGCCATTTCCTGCAGTCTCATTCATCAGATATTCACATTCACCATGATATCAAACAGGACAGACATACATACACCACGCCACATAAAGTTTACAAATAAATATGTCTTAAGTTTTATGTGAAAAGAATTTAGAAGATGTTGCAAAATACTTAAATGTTTTACAAAGATTTTGTGTCAGTGATTATTGTCCTTGACCATCCTGTTCATCACTTTTTGGCAAAGAAATAAAAGGAAAAGAGAGAAAAGGCAGACACCCCTGTCCTTTTCTGGTTTTGGAGTCCTCAGGTCCAGCTTCAAAGCCTTTCATTCATACAAAATACAAAATTCTCTTCAGCTATGAAGGCTTCAGCTTTGATGGAATCATGTAGTTATTCTGTTGAGAGAGTCTCATGCTAGATGTACAGGGGTGTCTCTTGCCCAGTTAGAAGCCTGAACATGGCAGCTGGCATAGTCTTCATGTGGATCTGTCAATTGATTTACACAAAATTGATTTAAACAGAAGAAGAAGAATCTATATGGTGTAAGTGCAGTGGTGTCTCAGTGGTGTAAGTGCATTTACTGTCCTGGTTCCTGTCAGATGTGAATGTTACCAAAGCTTCTAGTTCAAAGTTCTCTGGTTTGGAGAAGCTGGCTTACTGTCTTTTTTCTGTCCTTTTTCTGATTTTTTTTTGTTTGTTTGTTTTTTAATGACATGAACTAACAGGCTATTTAAGGATATTTAAAAGGATATTTAAACACTTGCTACTGCTTCTCCAACCACAGTCCTTACAAAAAGAGAGAACACAAACCTCTCTGGAAATTCACTCTGCTACTCCAATATTAACTAAAACTAGGTTTTCTTTTAAATTCCTTCCCTATGGGAGGGGCATTTTTCTCCTAAGTGGACTATGAACCTTTGAACACAAAACTTGAACTGTACCATCTATTATTTCAGTGCAGTCAGCATTTGTCAAAACCGGTTCTCTCATGGCTAGTATATGCAAGTTCTTTTTACAAGGAGCATCGTGACAAGCATCAGAGGGATTTTACAGACCAACAGGATTAAAGACGTCAGGTAATCAGAGTTGTACCAAGAATGTAGTAACAGCTGTAGTTACCTATCAGAGTATGTGAGAGTAAGGAATGTAAACGTTACTAACCGATCATACAGACCCTCACAAGCCAAATGCTGCCTTGATATCTTGGTCTCTTCATGCTGCAAAAGAATGTTTCATACTGACCTTGTAGGTGTAGAAAGATGATGGGCAGCAAAGAGGTATCTCAAAAGCATGGAGGTTCTAGTGAAACCTATAGCTTTATTCCTACCTGCATGCACGTACTCTGTATTCTATTTCAAGCATCATTTTCCGCAGGAAAAGGAGTTAACTCTGATTTTGGCAAAGGAACTAGTAGAAGATCTAGCCAGGGTCACGTATGATACTACCACTAAATTCAGTAGGAACCAGAGGATCTTGTTCTTCTGTTGCTGATTTCTCTAAAATACTGAAGAGAGATGTCTTAACTTTTTCCCCAAGGTAAGTGGGAAATGTTCAGTAAATATGAAAGGAGTAAAACACATAGCTCAGGTCATACTCTCAGCTCTGTGCATACTAATTTCTTTCTATGCCAGATGCTCTACTGATAAGCTAAGAGACATTTTCATAGCTAAGACGCTTGAGTGATTTCTTCCCTTAACTGACGGGTTTAATTCAAACAGTAAGTTGAAGGTTCAGAATCATGCCAGAAAATGAGTGGAAAAACACAGTGAATTTACATCCAATTGTTCAAAAAATGTTTTGTTCATTTTTGTGTTTACTGTTCAAATCGGATATATTGAGGTTTTAGTTCTAATACTTAGTTAAGACACTGATTGTTTTCAACTGAAATATGTAGTATATATTCATTCTACAGTTTTAATTGTTTGATGAAGTATTTAATATTTTTCTTACCTCTCCCACTGAATTAGACAATGCTTGTACTATCTTCTCGTGAGCAGTTGCAACAACGCTTTGTCCATTGATCTCAATAATACGATGTCCTACTCTGACCCCTCCCCTCTCAGCTATTCCACCTCGCATCAAGCTGCAAATCTGGCAAGAGAAGTCAAAGTTGATTTAAGATTAGAGATGTCATAACGTAACATTTACTAGGATTTAATAGATGAAAGATAATATTAACGAGAGGTGAGACTTCAGTAACTCTAGAAGATGCTAGGCAGGTTACAATTTTGCAAATTATAATTTTGACTTTCATTCTTATGGACTGAGAGCTTGTATATACATAACAGTGATACACCTGCAACAGTGACACAGCAGCCATGCAGGTGGAGGTAGGCGGAAAAGTGAAAAATGAAACAAGTTTTATAAAGAGATACCGACTGCCAACTTGTTGCAAACTCAAAGGCAAGACAAATTCTGGGGGAACTTCTAAGCTAGAACTAGGGGAAGTTCTTTTTCCATATTAAAACTTTCACTTTGATTTTTGTTTTTCTAACAAATTCTTCTCAAATTGTACAATATTTAAATTTCTTCATAGAACTGTGGCTAAATAATAAGAGCATAGACCTACAATATCCACAAAACCGGAAAAATTAGAGCTGCTGGACTATAATTTTGTTGGGTGTATTTCCTTTGAGACGGGGAGACTATTATTGCTGAGATGCCATTAAGGACATGGGATAGAGCGTTGCAATGGGAATACACTTCTAGGTACATCACATCTCTAAAACTATTGCATGCCTCTCAAACTAATGATTAGTACCGCAGCAGCACTGTCTCCAGCAACGTTCGGAGGTATGCGACTTTGGACATGAATTAGACCTGATTACATCAAAACGTGTTATACTCCACATAGTTGAAGCTCATCAATACAGATACAGGGATCTCACGTTGTTAAGACAAAAATTCTGTTGAATTTTTTTTGAAGTATGAAAACTTGCTTGCTGTGCCTCTGCAAGTTGGAAAGGGCAGTCTGCTCTCCACAGCCGCTGCTTTGCCCCAGGTTTAAAGTGCTGCTGACCACAGAGACCTTAGGATGAAGAAAGCAGAACAGCCCGCTGCTTCCACTGGCAGCCACAGGTACCAGGAAGAAACTAAGCACAGGTTTTGACTATCTTGCAGTAGGAGAATATTTCTGCAAGAAGAATTACAGTCATCCGGCATAGTCCCAACGGATGCTGTTATTTAAAACTAATCAGAGGTTGCGACATGCATGGTATATAGGCAGAAGGAAAAGCTCAATGCAGCACAAGAGATTTTTCTTCCAAAAAAAAAAAAAAAAAAAGTTTCCTCCTCAGCTATGACAGGACCCTCCCTGACAGACCAGACAGCTATATCTTGGATAGAAATTGTTGGTAAATTATTTCAGAAGACTAAGCTCATGCAGCACATCAGGTGGGTAAGATGCAGCTGGAATCTGTGGAACTGAGCAGAGCTTAACAGTGCTGAGATTTACCTTTTGTTTACAGAGAAGAAACCTGACTTGGAGGAAAAGAAATGAATACTATGGGAAATACCATCCAGAGATGGCTGCTTCTGCAGTTACTGTCCATGGCTATAAGCATATGCCAAGAATTATTATTTGCTGAGATCTGATAATTTGTTCAGAGCTAAAATGGAAGATGTGGCTTTTGTCCCAGTGAGTTTATAATCTCAGTCAGAAACAGACACAGTAAGTGGGGAGATGGCCACGCTGGAAGCTGGAACATATTTAAGCTGAAACGTTGTCTGTGGATGACCAGTATTCTTTCTGTATGGCACTAGCAGTTTTCTCTAAATTCCTCCTCTGCAAATAGCAATGCTATATAAAATGAAATTCTTCTTACTCTTTCGAGTTTCAGGCTGTCTAAGGGAGGGTGGGAAGAATATAAGTGATTCTTTGTTTATAAAAAGCCACCTTCAGCCTTCTGAAAAGGGATTTTGTCCTGCAGTGACATATCTTCCAGCACCTGGTCTATAATTAGTGGCTTAGTTCCACTGTGGTTCACAAACTACTTCTGATGCAGTTTTATGGTTAGAGGCACCACCAGCATCCTTCACAGAATTACATCGTGAATTTCAGTCACGTGCAATCCACTGTTTTGCAGGTAGTCTCCCTTTTAATCATATAGCTGACAAGATAAATTGTACTATGTATTTTTGCCTGACTCGCCTATAGAAAGCTTCTCGTTTAACTCTGTTAGAATAACTTTGCTGCTCACTGTTGGGGAACATATGCAGTAATCCGAAAGCACAAAAAATCAGAATGTGCCAAAAGAAACCCTGTAAATGCATTTTTCACAGAATAAAAGAAAATATACAGACTGTACAGCCAGCTGAAATAAAAGCTTTCA